TTCTCGATTAATATGAGTTTTTCTTGTTGCCATATTATTGATGTTTCTGAAGAAATGAAATTTTAAAAGATGTGAAATTAAAAAAGAAAAAAACAAAACAAAGCTAAATGAAAGTGTTAAGCCATCGCAAAGTACATATATTATACATACCCTTATTTCAGTTTAATTAACGATAGCCTGAAGTTATCATTTTCATATGATTCTATTTTTAGAATATTGAATTCAATAAAGGAGTACTTTGAAATTTGTTGCACATTTCCCTATTCTTGTTTTCAAACCTTATCAGACTAAATTCATTTCTTCAAACTCAAATATCGAATTTATAAACTATTAATTTCATTTTGAAAAATATTGGCATCATAGCATTATTTTTCTACATTACTTTAATCCTATATTTGAACTTCAATTTTCATAAAATATTCTATCAAATTCTATAGAAATGAATGATACGTATGGATGATAAAACGTGGAAAGCGGAAAAGCATAAAACGTTGAAGTTGCTAAACTGCTTATCTTGACTATAAATGATATCCCTATTATTAGGCTTATCACTATAAAAATTACCGTAAACATTTCAAATGCATTTAAATTATTGGAATTAATTCTAATTGTTGTAGTGTTGTTAAAAATGTAGACGATATGAAAACATTGACAACATTGCAACAAAATGACCACGACCATTGTGGGTAGGAAGTAGCCATTGCATATTCTTTGCTCTTTTGACCTTTACACTATACTAAAAGAAGAAAGTAGAAGTGCATTTCCTCTTCATTCACTCTCTACAACACACACTATCCGTTCATCCATTACATGCGGAACAGGTCAATGGATTTTAGTTTTGCATATCATCATCATTATCATCAACCCTCCCTATAATTTGATATGTCAGGCACATATGGTTTTGACGGATGCAATTTGATGATTAATTCTGAAAAAAGTTTAGTTTAATAATCTGTGTGACTCTCTCATTGTCATTGGCTTGGCTTATTAAATAAAAAACAATCAAACATGCTGGCCTTATTTGACTTCTCTTTCTCTTTAGAACTGTCAAACAAACAAGTCACAGATAATTAAGCTAGATTTAGAAAGTAAATGAGTTAATTTAATTCAAGCAGTTGTATTATAATAGGAGATTTAAGGGTAATGCAGTTGTTAACTTAATGATTTCATATATCGGCCAATATGATTGAAGAATTGAAGCTAATGTAATTATCATTAACATAATGATTTATTGAGTAAATCAATAAATGGCCTCGTACTCAATGCAACGATCGAGTTTATACTTCTTTGTCACCCTTCACAGCAGTAAATAAGTTAGGGGAAAAATTTGCATGAAATTGAATAACTTTCGTATCACATAGATTGCTTGAGGTGGAAATTCAAGATGACAAGGGGACAAAGTTACTCATTTTTGAAATTGACGAAAAATTTCAGCAATTGTTTATGGAATCGTTCTACAGGGATCCCTAATGGAGTGATGTATATAAGCAGTTTAAACGATAAAGCTGCAAAGCAATGTTTATTTACGTATTATTTACGAAAATTTAGTTTGTTATCATTGAAAATTTCATTATTAAATGAAAAGTTTTCTCAAATTCAAAAACTTCAACAAAAAAAAATTGTTTAAAAATTGATTTTCAAAAATTTTACAAATAAAATGAAAAGGTTAAAAGAAGAAGAGAAAGCGAAAAAGATCCACTTCAATCATGTCACTTTCTAGGCCATAAATGTCCAAGCTTTAGCTGTCTTCGTAAATTTCCCGTACGAAATGTCATTTCATCTGGATCGATAAGTAAAGAGAGAGAGATTACTTACCCCTATTTCTCAATTCAATCTCCCAGTTAAGAGTAAGAGGAATTTTGGTGAAAAGCGCTTGAATACATATGTCAAGCCAACCTTGCATAAACATTTCCGCCTTCATTTTCCTCCATCAATAAAAATTTTCTTGACAAGAATGTATAAAACGATGGACGACGACATAAATACACTTTCATCCCTGTTTCTTTTTATTTCTCTCAGGAAATGCGCTTTCTTTTCTTTTTTCTTCTTCTTCGATTGTCACATTACAATTATCAGTTAAAATAGTATTGGAGTGAAATTTAATTTAACAATAGATGATAGTTTTAAATTTAAATTTCTGAAATATCTTGATTGAAAGGATTTAAATGATAATGACGTAAAACGTCAATTTATTCATTTAAACAGGTGTTGAGAGATAACATTGCTATCAAATGGCGCAGTATGAAATCTCGAAATCGATAGCAAACATAGCAATTATCATCCGCAATTCAATGCAAAATAATAGGCAATGAATGAAATGATGAGAAAGATTTTAATGAAAACAATTGTTTCAAAGCGCATTTATCCATGCAACTTTTTTTTTTCTTCAAACCTAAAAATCGCTCAAATTCTAAAGACGTTTTATAAAGAATTACATAATGAATAATGTGAGAAGAAAATGATAATGATAATGATAATGATGATGATAATAATGATAACAAGTTAAGAAGAAGATAAATGATTAAATAAAGGAGGTTAAATTAGCTAAACTTCCCTTCAACGATATAAGTCATCTTTCCTAAATGGTTATTCGAAATAGTAAAAACAAGTAACAAAACTTTTGTTTTCTTTTTTTTGTGTTTGAATTAAGTAATGGATGTGAATTATGCAAATTTGTGTGAAAAACATCAGCAAATAACCTTTGATCTAATGATTGAAAAGTTTTTGTCAAAACATTGGCAGATTATCTGACAAATTATTGGATCATTTTCCTTATCACTTCTATAGGATGATAGAATGCTTTTTGCTGCCATTTTGTTGTTGTTAATGGAATCAAATCCTACAGTAATTCAATCGTTGAAATGAATAATCCTTCAAAAAAAGAAAAAAAAATTGGAAGAAAAAAAGAAATAAATAATATTTCTGAGAAATCCGTCGTAAATACAATTATTCGTCTTTAGAATGAATAGCCATTGAAAAAAAAAGAAAAATTGAAATAAATTCTAAGATTGAAAATTATTCATTCAATCTTCTTCTTCCTTTTAATATTTAACAAATATTTTGCTTGAAATTTACAATTTTACAAATGAATGAATCAATCAATCCAGTATTAATTAAATTTTTCAGTTTTAAAAAGCTTTCAATCCATTATTGAAGGATATGATAGAAATTTAAATTTCTGAAAATTGATGACAGCGCAGCTTCAGATTTGAAACAACATGGAAATTTGTTTGTTCAATCACTTCAAGAAATATGACTTGTCGTAAAAGATGAAATGCTTGAGAGAAATACAATTGGTATCATTTAACACTGATCACTCCATTAATGAAATCATATTTTTATTATCAGTTATGAAAAATTTTCAAACTAACTAAACAATACAACATTTATTTTGAAATAAATCTTTAAGAATTTAAATGTTTAATCGAATTTATCATCACATTATGAATGAAATAAATTTAAATTATCGAAATAATCGGTTCTTACAACTCATACTAAATGTTAAAGACAGACAGACACGCACATACACATACACACACATACATATACACAAGCAAACACATCCATGCCTACAACAAACAAATTTCACCGATCAATGATTACTAAGCAGTTGTTAGTAGTTTTCACTCATGCAAACATCCCTCGGAAACATTACAAATTTACAACAGATTTTACCTTTTATGCTAGAAAGAATGTAAATGAATAGCTAAGAATGCAAATGAATATTTCAGCTCTTTTCCAACCGAGTTGAAGTGCGGATATAATCACATCGCATCATACATCATCACAATGTAAGATTTCCCTTCCCACGTTGATTCAGATTCCATTCAAAACTCATTCAGATATAATCACAATGAACGTTGATTCAGATTCCATTCAAAACTCATTCAGATATAATCACAATGAACGTTGATTCAGATTCCATTCAAAACTCATTCAGATATAATCATAACGAAAAGTCTTTCTTTCGCATAAAGTCAGATTCCATTCAAAACTGTGAATGGACTATATGAATACTTCTTCACCATGCGAAACTTGAAATGGTCCAAATCTTTCGATTACACTTATTTTAAAGATAACAGAAAAGAGACGAAAACCATTTATTACCTATTGATGAATAAACCAGGTAAAGATGATCTTTCTCCTCTTTGTCCGTTTTTAGTAAATGACTGAGAGGTGATATTGGATAATAACGTTGCATCTCTTAAAATTGTTTTATGAAATTCCTTGATGAAAGTTGGAATATTTTCAAGGAAAGTTTTCCAAAATCTGTTGAAACTAATTCAAGTTGGAAACGAGATACAACAAACTGATTAAGTTCCTTCTCATAAGGAATATAACATTCCTTGTTTATTGAATTAAACTATTTCATTCTATTTCCACTTCATCGTAAAACTCCGAACTACTTTTTGAGAAAACAAAAAAAAAGCAAACATTTTTTCTCATTAATGATAACTGCTGCTAAAGTCTAAAATGAAATTTTATAAAGTGTCACTTTGAAAATTGCTAGAAAAAGATCACAAAATTGGAATTCAAATAGAAGAAAAACATTGAAATAACTTTTATTGCTTTATTAGGGCATCAAGGTAATCCAACGAATTTCCTGAGATAATTCTTTGAACTCAGAATTTCTAGCTCAAACTGACTTAAACAGAAAGCTATGCTAGTTGTTCTAAACGAAAGCGACATATGACATAATATTTTGTCAAGTCGAATACATCAATGATTTTCTATTATTTGAAAGATGATTCTTTTTTTTCATAAAAACGAAAAAAATAAGTTGAATAACGAAACAGACAATGCATGACATGAACTGGCTCACTCATAAGACATATCGTTCGCAAGTGTAGATATAACAACTATCTTGTTTGTTAATTCTATGCTTTTACTAACATTAAAATATATTGCAAAAAAAATCGAAAAAATTTAAAAATTTCCTGAAGTTTTGACATAACTTCAAAGTCAACGACATTGATAATAGAAAGAAAACAAGAGTAAATCTCATCAAATTTTTTCAATCCATAAGTTATTTCTTTTTTAATCCATAAGTTGCAAAAAACAATTTAATGGCTGAGCAGGCTGAGCAGTTTAAATAAATTTAATGGCTGAGCAGCACCAATCACAAAATTGCTTTCATGCTTTTTTTCTTGCTCTCTTTGCTTTCAGTCGCTGCGTCCTTGTTTGTCTCAAAATTTCTAACAGTGTTTCTTCCGTAGGTACATTATTGAACTTCACTTCAAGAAGAACATAAAATCCTGGAAAATAATTGCTGCAAAAGTTTTCCAAACATGAAGTGAAGAGGAAGAAACATTATCATTATAGTGAGTTCCCACCATTTCACAACATGAAAATCATAGAAGGCTTTGAAATATTTGAAAAGTGTTTGGGAAATCATTAATTACTGAAACGAACCAGCTCGAGACAAACTTTTGCAAGACACCGGTCTAAAACCCAATGATGCTAATTCCTGGAAAAATATGCTATGTACACCATTGATTGCATACTGTAAAGCTTCTTCGCTGGATAAGTGTTCAATTTCTAGACGTGGTACTTCAACTCGACCACAGCTTAATTTTCCAACCTAGAATACGAAACTGAATTCTGCTTCACAAATAGATAGGAAAAATTCAGAGTGCAAAAGAAATCACATTAAAATAAAATAAAACGAGGGAAAATCTTTTGTTTTTAACCTTTTTAAAATTTTTTATAATTCATATTTTGTGATTTAGACAGTCAAATCAAAATAGATATCTTAAAAACTTAACAATTCCACCAGAGGTACATAGATTAAACGGAAGAGATCGATGTTTAGGATTGAGAGTTTCCTCTGGAGGGCTGATAACTGTATGAGGCATAAAGTTAAATCGATACCAGAAATGTAGTCATGGAATAATTTAAAACACTGATAAATTAAACAGCTTTACGAAATTAAAATCATGATCAAAAAGAATTACATTAATCATTAAGTCGATGTTGGCATCCGGATCTACCTCAGGCCAGGGTTGCTCGTTGATTTCTTTATCCAGCCACACTTTATGATTGTTCAGTGCAGGAACGGAACGTAATGCAGCCCAATATTCGGCAGCCAAATGAGGTGTGAATAACTGAAATGAAATTCACTTAGGTGATGTTATGCTTTCAAAGCAGTTCAATTAAACCAACGTTTGAAACAAGAAAACTGAAAGGAAAGCTTATTAAAAGGAACAAGAGAAAAGAGCAGTTTCGTTGATTTTTAAACCGTATAAATAAAACTGAGAAAAATAAACCGTACAAATAAAACTGCTGTACAAAAATAATCATCAACAGCTTGCCGAAAAACATAACCCACCGAACACTATGACGTAGGAAAACCTTTCTTCATTATTCCATAAACATGAACTAAACTGTGAAAACCATTTCAATGATTATCGAGAATATCAATTGTCAAATTGATAAGGACAGAATATTAAAATTTCCAACCTGCAACATTATCACCAGTGCGCGAACACATCGTTCAACCTGCTCGCTGCGACGATAACTTTCAGCCGGAGTTCTCTGAAACAAATTTACAATGCTAAAGCGTGACTCAAATGTATATAAAGACAAATCTCGAATGAAGCAATAATGGAAATCAGTTATAAATCAAGAATTTCCCTTACCTTTAAAAACTTCACGAAAGCCTGCAGATGATCTATTGCAGTGTTATGCAAATGTAAGACTTCTATAACCATAGAGATCTAAAAACAAATTATCAACAGGAAAAGCAAGTGTATTTTGTAAAAAACGGTCTTCAACTTCCCTTTCACTTCCTGAAATACGTATTTGGAAAAAACAAAGAAAATTTCATTATTAATATCTACTAAACGGTCCACATGTGTCATCAGCGAAGCTGTCGAAAGCCGTCTTTCCTTTTCAACATTCGAACTGAGGGTAGTATTGGTTCTTTCTAATTGCAGTCGTAATGATTTTGCCGATGCAGTATCAGATACAATACTCCACTTAAAGCAGGAGTATTTTTGGGTAAAGTATTTGAATGGGGATAAGATGAACTGATTATCGATGTGAACTCACATTACGAACATAAAAATTATATATAGTGCGATATTTTTCTTCCTCTGCAATGTCTAATGGCTCAGGTGAAGTTGAAGTTGCTAATGCATGTTGCTCTACGTAGAAACTCACGACATCCGAAGTTCGTTCCATAAACTTGAAGAGACCTTTTAATTCTGAAATAATACTGAGAAAAAATGCAAATAGTTGCAGGTTAAGTAATCTAGAAAGTAAATTTATTTTTAGGAATATACAAATGGGTGATATTTTGCATTTTACCCCTATAGATTATGCTCAGATTTCATATCTATTGGTATTATTTTACAACGCATCTAGATTAGATTTCAACATGTCTAGTTTAGATTAGAGTCCGGAACGAAATAAAGATATACCTGTATCTCCCCAATTAATAGGTTCTCGCGGTGCAGCTTCATTCAACAGCTGCAAGCGAGTTAAATCGATTCCTTTCAATTTCAATACGCTTAATGGATCGACACCGTTATGCTTTGACTTTGACATCTTCTCAAACTGAGTAACTACTGCAGAGCCATCTGTTTTTACGATAAAACCATTTCCTGCATGATTACATCACTGGTTTAATATAGTTACATATTTGCAAAAGAATCGAAAGAGAGTCACGCAGACTGAGCTATCAATGTATTTTCCAGCCTTGCAATGAAAATGAATACATGATTTCTAATCACCAGTAATTATGATTATTAAGTACATATAAAGCAATCATTAAGACAATCCATTTTATTCGCAGAGTCTGCTTCATCAGTCTTTTCCAGATTTTAGATTCTAAGTTTACGTCGAGCTTTACAATTATCAATGAGGATTGCAAATGGGGATACGCAAAAAGCAAATCCTAATAACTTAAGTAATAATGTTGCCAGGAGTAAATTTAATTAGAAAATAATTTCGAATTTTTGAAATTTCCTAACCTGTTTGCACAACATCATTTTCCTCAAGATATTTTCCGCTGTCGCTTCTCTTGAAAGTACGACTACATACGATTCCTTGCGGTAATAAACTTTCGAAGGGTTCTTGTACGGGTGATACACCAATATCGTGTAAGAAATAAGATATAAAGCGCGCAAAAAATAAGTGCAACGCAGCTGTAATTATTTACATACACAAATGAAAATTATACAGGACATGAATCAGATATTCAATAAATGGTAGACATCACATCTAAGAATAAATCGGTAGTTTGAATTGTGGGAGATTTCCATCGTTCTTAATTTTTTTAAAAAAAAAGTTCAGAGCGAGAATAATATGAAATACCATGTTCTATTCCACCTACATAAACATCAACTGGCATATCCATAGATTTCTTCTTTGAGATCAATTCAGTATCGTTCTTGGGGTCAAGAAATCTGGAAAATTCTTTTTTACCTTCCAGCAACATCAGGATTATTCCCAACAAATCAAATTTTAAAACAAACCTTAAATAATACCAACTGGAATCAAAAAATGTATCCAAAGTATCCTTTTCCCAATATCCAAATCCATCTGGTAATCTGAAAACGGAAAGTGTTGGTAACTTACTTTGATACTCATGAATTATTTAATAATCCTAATCAATAATACTTCTATTAAACTTCAACTAAATAAATCTAATTCCAAATATTAGATCAATTAAAAAAGGATGAGCCGGCACATTAAAAAAACAGTGCTGAAGTTCGAACTATATAAAATAATACACGAAATTTAAATTTTGAAAACTAACCTCTCACACGGAATTTTCTCATCATATCTGCAATGTGCAGCAATAACAGGTAATTGGTCATCAGTAACAGCAACGGCACATCGATCGTCGGCACTGAGTAATATCGGTATTGGTGTGCCCCACTTCCGTTGTCGTGAAACAACCCAGTCAAGTAATCTCTCACTTGTTTCATAGCCACCATGACCTCCAAACTTAAATGTAAACTTCTTGTAAAAACAATCAGAATTAAGAATGAAATCATTTCACCAAAATTTTTGAAAATAAAGTAACTTTTGGATCTACAATGTGGTAGTGATAACCATTTCATGGAAAATAATAATATTTGATGATGCTAAGCTGATCACATTTCCTCAACAAATTTGGATATAGAAGAAATGCTCTGAGCATCCGCTATGAAAGTTGGAATGGTATAAGTAAAGTGTAATTAAATGTTTACCAAGTGAAACTAACTTCGGCAATTTGAATTACATCGTTATTGGTGAGCGAAATTCCAGATCGTTCTGCTGAGAATCCGAAAGTTTCTAAGACCTTTTTATCGAATTCCTCCGCATCACACGGAAGTCTTGCATTTAAGATAAATTTATTTCCATTTTTAACGGCATTACCTTTCATATAAATGATATGCATATCTTTCCCAGTTATGATATTTAACGCAGTTACTTTTAAAACACCTGAAAATCCAAATTATGTAACTATTATAGAAAAAACTGTGAAAGTCAATAAGCAATATGAAGACACAAATTTCAAACCTTAAAATCATTCTCATCAAACATTAAACTTAGAAATGGAATTTTCTAAACGTCTAAAAAAATAGAATTCAACATTAATCATTTATTGGGTTCTTATGGAACAACAGTAATCATCGTTTTACTTTCAAATTTAATTTGATCAATTGCTTAACCTATTTCTTCTTTTCCGACAGCTAAGTTGAAGAGAGGATGACCGAATTGAATGAAAACAACATTAGCAGCAGCTAGCTGATGTGGCTCGCGTATTCGAAGGTCAAGTTTTTCGTCCAGATGTGCGCCGTTTCTCTCCTTAAGAACTTCAACACTTATTATATCATTTAATAATCTCAAACAACACTTTTGGAATGAAATAAAAGTATATTTGTTGAAACAAATGATGAATTCATAAATAAATCTTAATCTGAAATATAAGACATAGCATCACTGATCAGTTCAGAACTTCAATAGTTTAGGTTTGTCTTTAGTTTTGAAATTTTAAAAATTTTGCAAACATTTTAATTTTTCCTTCACCAAAACAGCCGAAATGCTTGCATACTCGATATCATGCTTTTTTGAAACCGGGGTGAATACATATCGAATATATTAACCATTCGAATTATTTATTACAATACATCCACCGATTTAATAGTCAATGACTAAGTTACCTTTAAAGGTAGTAAAAACCGCCACACGTTACATTTCCCAATCCAATTAGCTTGTATGGCTGCTACTTCCTTCCAGTGCGTTAATTTCTCAAGTCCGTCGTACATGCGCTGGAAGTCGAAAATTAATTAAATAAACTGAAAGAAAAAAGCAGAAAGTTTCAAGTTACTACATACAAACTACTTCAATGTACCAACTTTCGCATATTTTGGTGTCTCAATCATCCAATGCTTCATTTTACGCTTTTCAGCAATTGCACCGGAACGCCAAGAACGCCCCTCCGCATCAATTTGCTCGGCAGCAAGAACGGTACTATCGATGGGATCCCAGTGCACCTGAAATTTTTTTGAAATTCCCAACTATAAGGTAAAAATTCGACATAAAGAGCTGAAAAGAGAAAAAAAAGGTGCAACTTTAGAAATCATTATGTATTCACAAAAAGGACCTCTGATAAAGCTCGTCGAACTAAGCCACGTTCAAAGAGTCGACAGAAAATCCATTGCGTCCAACGATAGTAATCCGGCGAGCAAGTCGAAATTTCCTCAAACAAACTTTACATTCATAATATTTTTTGAGATAAAAACGTGATATTATCAAATCCTTCCAATTTTAATGTATTACTGTCGATGTTATAGAGATGGGACCAGTTTTATTATTCCATTTGGGATTTCATTCAGTGAAAGCTATCCGAAGTTGAGGAAGAAAAAGAAAATAATCATATCAAATATTGAAATAAAATGAAACTTATCATTCTTCAAATTGTATCTCTGCTTTTCATCAAGTAGTAGCAAGCTATGTTTTTGAGAAGAAAATTGATTTCTCTCCTAAAATAAATTACCAAAAAAACTTACTCTATTCCAATCAAATATAATGCCTGTACTCAACAGCTGCTGGCGCATCACATCGATATTACTGAAAAGGTTAGATGCCCAAACACTGTAAAAATCCACTGGTGATAAAAATTCAGTAACAACAAAAGTTTGGCGAACTTATTTAGAATAATTATAAGTACCTTCATTAAGAAAGTTACCTTGCTGTCCACTGAGCTGGATCGACACCTACTTCTCGAGCAGCATTTTCTGCTGGTAAACCAAACGCATCCCACCCAATTGGATGAATAACATTGTAACCATTCAATCTAAACTTAACTTTCTTTGTTATCTACTCATTTAGAATAATACAACCAGTGGTTGAGAAACTAAAATAATAAACAGAACTAAAAAAATGATAAACACAGATCTGCTTCGCTATATTACAAGTCCAAATCTATCACCACTGTCCTGTCAAATACAGTAAAATTTGAAGTTACTTGTAATAACGAGCAAGTGCGTCTGATATCGTGTATACTCTCATATGTCCCATATGCAGTCTTCCCGATGGATATGGATACATCGAAAGGATGTATTTCTTCGGTCGTGAAGGCTAAAAAATTACTATGGATAAATATATTTAATTAAATACTTTTTAAAATATTGAAATCCAATCGATCGTATTCCTGATCACTATTTTTTCGCCAACATTTGACCTTTTTATTAGAGGAGAAAATGACTAACATGAATAGCCGGTGCTGTTTGTGCAATTACCTTCCAGTACCGTTCCAGATCAAATAATTTTGTTGCTATACCGTACTCCTCAAATGGTTTTACAACTGAACAAGTTTACCGGCAAAGTTCTTAACAATTAAACTGTTTCATTCAGTAATGCTTGCTTAAAGTGAAAACTCATCAGAAAATTTTACTGAAGTATTTCAAACATCCAAAAAATTCATTTTTCGAATCAAATTAATCGAAATACTCAAGGTTTTCACAGTGCATACCTTCCTTGGCCATAGCAGCATTGGTTTCTTTATATGCGAAGCACACGCATCCGAGTGGAACATAGACAAACGATGCCTGATCGTTGAAAATAAAACACCCGTCGATTGCATTTGAAACGATTATTGTTGCCTGCTGGCCATCAACAAGTATAAAAGCTGATCAACTACGGAAGATAACAAGGATGAAGAAAAGTAATAGGCAAAGGGAACAATGGGTTAAAAATGATTCGTTTACATTAGCTGGATAGCCTGAGTGGAATTACGATTTGCTTCACTTTTTGAGCAAAATCAGTGAAAATGTTCGAACCTTAACGGTGGAATAAGAAAGGACAGAGTGGGACGAGAAGGAAAAAACCAATTTGAGAATATTCATCCCCTTCCCCC